TCTCTGACATGCAATACTGAAGACTCTTTGGCAAATCTCAGCTGTCACTTTCTTTAGGCTTAGAGGTAGAAAAGAGTGGATAGACAGGCTGCAATAATGCAGGTCAGCTATGATTTTTTTTACTTTCCATCTTGATGCAAAATCATCAGAGAGAATTAGTGGGGCCAGTGGGCCAACAGAAAGTTTGAGCCAGTAAGAGAGATGATAGTGGTAGCATTCCTGTTTCCATACAAATTTGAATGTTTAGCACCTGGAAGAGTGTTTGAGAAAACTTAGATTGGACAGCATCCAGGGGCTTTAGATCACTGTAGGTGCATATCTCTGCACTGTACAGCAATTGGGATGTAGGTTTAGGGTTTAGCTTTAAGCAGCTTGATAGTTTCAGATATGCATCGACCTCCCTTAGACTGAAAAAAACCCAGGATTGTCTTGGCTAGTGCTTTACTGGCTTTGGCACAGATGACTCTTAATTGTTCCTGCCAAGTTCCAGAGGTTTGAGAAATTACTCCCAGATATTTAAAAGCTGAAACTTGTTCTATTTTGTTAGTTCCTATTTGCCATTGGTGTTTATAGCAGCTAGGACTTCCCTAGGTCTTGGAGTAATTAACTGTAAGCCCTTCCTCCTTACAGAATTCTGCTAAAGTTTGCAAACTTCTCCTAAGGCCCACCTATGTAAATGACAAAATTGCTTTGTCATCAGCATACAACAGCATTGCCAAATGTCCGTCCCGAAATTCTTTTCCGGTAAGAGCAGCAACCACTGAATTTATATAGATATTAAACAGTAGAGGAGCTAAAATGCATTCCTGTTTCACTCCTCAGCTGCTTGGAGTATCTGCAGTAAGATAGCCAACTTCATTGTACCTAGCTTGAATGACGGTGTTTTCATGCAGCATCCTGATTAGTGAAAGTAGCCATCGGTCAATAGATGTAACAGTGAGCTTCTACCAGAGTTTATTTCTTGAAACGGAACTGAAGGCTGATTTTAGGTCAATGAAAGCAAAGTATAAAGGGTATTGCTGTCTCAGTGTGCATTTTTCTATTAAGACTTGTACAATGGCCCATTGATCCATTATAGATCTGCCCTCTCTAGGATTAGGGTTAGGAGGAATAGAGCATGAATACAGGAAGTACTGATGTAATATGTGGCAGGAAAAAATAAGATGGAAGGATGCAACCTGGCCATTGCAGGGAAAAGAGAACAGACTGTTGTTTGGCTTCCCTTTCTTTTCAGCTGCAATCTAAACAAGGAAATCAAGGTAATGGTGTTGGGCTTTCCAGCTTAAATACCCGTTGTTTAATGCCAGGTCAGCTACTGATAAAACATCTGTTAGCCATGATTTAATCCTAGATGAACATGCTGACCTGGCATGTATATCAAAACCTGGCTAAGAGAGAAGGAAGGAGCAAATCAGTGCCTCTCCCACTGGGCTACTCTATGATACAGCAGGCCAGAGCAAGAAGGTGGGGAGATGGCATAAATCTATATACATTCCATTTCACCAACCAAACTTCCCTCTGACAGTTTACCAGTTGTGAGTACTCACTGATGCAATTGGGTGGCAGGGATGGTGCAGGGATTCCATGGCATACCATCCACTCTACTGCATAAATATCTCTCTTACTGGAGTGACTTCTGAAGTGATAATGGAGTATCCTAGATATCTTGTCCTAGAGATTTCCATATTTGTGATCAGGTAACTCACAAATAGAACTCAGGATTTAATGTCTGCCATGATGACTGTGGACCTGTCTCAGTTGGTATCTCGCCTCCACAAACAAAATCTGGTATTCTTTTTATCTGGAGCCAGTGATCTGAAAGTGGAAGAGCTCTCTCTAATTCTGTTTTCATGCACAGATAATTGTTAGGTTGGCAGCTGCTATACACTTCTGCAGGAGTACGGACTAGTTAAAAGGCTCAAATTCAGAGGTGAGAATTTTCCCACCTCATCTATCGGCAACACTATTAATCTCATAGCTGATTTATAGAGCATGACGATGGTTTGGGGGTTGACAATATAATTCCTAAGTGTCCTCTTCCATCTACCAGAGGGAATAGAGAATCTATATTATTAGCAAGAAACAGGAATGTTTGTGAGGTCACTAAGAATCAAGCTTGACTCCAAACAAATTTTATATTATTTTGTCAGTTATTACATAACACTTTCTTCATCAGTTCTATCTGTAGTTTGTGAACTTCAATTCATATTTTGCAATTCTTTGGAAAGTTAAATGTTTAAAATATAAAATAAAACAATGTAGGATCTTTAATATGACAACAGGAATCAACAGATTTTTGTCCTCATCTTCCATTTTTAATTTGCACAAGTTGACTTAAAAGTAGTTGAACAGGTGAAATAATTCGTTCTGCATTTTCAGTCTGCTTGTTTTTATGTTGCTTGCTTGCTTATTTATTTATTTATTTATATAAATAAACGCTATATATAACATGAGTCAAAAAATGAATTTCTGCACTTCACGTTGTAAAACATAGAAGAAACATAAAATAAAAAATAAAAACCCCAAACTACTATAAAACAACAGGCAAAGTGATAACTATTCACTAATACATGGGTTGCTGCATTTTGTACCAAATACTGCTTCTGAGTGGTCTTTAGAGGCAGGTGTTATGTTCTGTTATTGTTGATAGTTCTGTTATAGGTTCTATTATTATATTTCTGGTTTTCAGTTCTATTTTTATGTTATAAATTGCTTTGAACTCCCTGATATATTATTTTAATAAAATTGCAATGGAATATTGTTTTGGAAGAAAGAAATGTGCGAATAACAATTGCTTTATATTTAGGGTAGAGTTTCATGTTGCAGGAGACCCAGTCTTGTGATATTTTGTTTTATTTGTAGCAGATGCAGAAAAAAAAATCTAAATTGTGATTCAGTTAATCAACCAAACTGTTGCTTATTAAAAATAAAGTTTAATTTTATTTCTCTGACAAAGGCATCTTGTATTTCTCATAGAATACTGACACATAGGAACTATGGAACATCCATTTGACAAATATTTATTTTTAATAAAATGAAAATATTTCTATTAAATGTTTTTGTTTGTTTGTTAAATGAAGAGCCTTCTTTAGTATTCTCAGTGTCCTGTTATTTGCAGATATGAGAGCCATTACTCTCTAATGCATAAAAGGCATGCTTTTAAATTACTATTATTTAGTATCCACATTCCCCTATTGTTTTCCAAAGAATATAGAGTAAGATTCTACTTTGCTTGCAGTGATATTAGAAATATAAAAAAGCAAGACACAAGAGTTAGATTAATCAGGGACATCTTTTCTTGTTAATATAAAAAGATCTGCTACAATAAACAGCTTAACTATATGGGACATTATAAAGCCAGGAGTCCTTTCCTAGTCAGCTAACTTGAATAAATGGGTCTTGCCCCTGACTAAAACCAGTTCTGTTAGCCATGTATTTAAGTGCTATGGGAAGTCATCCCTAGCCACTGACTTTCAAATCTCACTGCTTTAGGTATACAATTTGGTTAAGTTTCAAGAGTTTAACCTCAAAGAGCTGAAGTTGTCTCATTATCTCTTGACCACCTCATTGCTCACCTGCTATTCTTTCTTCCTACACTACCTGTCAATTTGACCAATCTATTTATCTAATTAACTCCTACCCAGTTAGATGATTCCCACAGAACACAGTATAGTGTAGACAAAACAAAAACACCCTAAGAGAACAAAATAATCTGGTCCTAGGGTTTAAAAGAATGAACAAGTGAACTCACATACTTCTTCTTGGAGTAACTAATGTGGATAATAAAGGATGGGAACCTTCCTATACTGGCTGACTAAAGAGGAGTCAAGTTAATCAAGCTGGATCATTCTTCTGTATCTGGGTGGCAATGCTATGAAGCTCAACAATTTTGGAAAATTTTTTAACAGAAGGATACAAATTCTAAATTTTGAATTTCCCTTTCATCCTTCCATCTTTCTATTAAATATTGATAAATCTTACATTCCTACAAAATATACCAAATTAGCCTTGCATATGATAACTGCTGCAATGACCCTCTATGCTTCTTACCAGAAAGTACTACAACCGCCCAGTGTCATTGGGAGTCATGCAGTATATAAATTTAATAAATAAATTCTATCTGTATAATAATGCCCAATCAAGTTGTGAGCATATGTTTTGATGTCTAAAATAACTTCAAACTTGAAAAGGAAACCTAACTTTGAATTTAACTCAACATGGAACTGTTTACCAATTTCATACATTGGCTTGTAGCATATTTGAAATTTGGGTTTATTTTAACATAAGGTTTTGATATTTAAGTCCTCAAAGACATGTTAAATAAAGAGAGATTCTTTTTTTTCTATTGAAAGTATATGCCTCCTTACATTTCTATTTCCAATGTACTTACCCTTCCTTGTTATTCCAGTGTTATCTAATACTCTGTTAAAAGTACAGATGTATCATGGCAACTATATTTTCTTTGTTCACTAGAATGGTTGCTCTCAAAAAGAGAGGTTAGACTAGTTTAGTATGCCTTGTTCTTAAGAAATCCAAGCTGGCAGCAAGCAATTTCCAAGATTAGAAACTGATTGCTTTATAATTTGTTCTAACAAATAGTTCCCCAGTTTAATCTGGCTTCAGTAGTTAGGAAATTGTTAGAACAATTTATAAAGCAATCTTTCTAGAACTACTTCAAAGGAAAATAAGTTTTCCCTATTAGTCAGTTGGGTTTGGTGCAACAGCCTCCTACCCCCCCCCCAACTTTGCTAAACCTTCCTTTTGAACCTCTGTGAATAAAATCATGTCAAGTTTAGAAGAATGAAATGTTAGAACCATATGATTATAGGTTAATATTTTAATTTGATGAAGTTTTAAAGATATTTATAGAAGCTTGGATGTCTTTATAAAATAATTTTGGATTACAGTTCCAAATCAAACAAAATGCTTTCAGGCTTGCTTAGAGAATAACAGGGTATATGTTAAATGAATATTAATTGAATCCTTTTGTATCTACCTAGGTGACTTCTGGTGGGAGAGCAAATTACTATGTGTCTTACAAAAGGGAACCCTTTACTCAGATAAAATTACCCAAGTACTCATTACCAAAGGTAAATGTATCTCAATAATTAAAAAAAAAAAGAATAAAAGTATTTGATTCTCACTTTTTTTATGCAAAAGAGAATGCTTTTGTCGTATTTCTATATTTCATAAATTATGTCTAGACTGTAGATATGTGATCCACCATCCAAATGCAGCCTGTCGGGTGCTTGAAAATCCTTGTCTTCTTTGTCTCATGCAACAAAATGAGGAAGTCTATCAAAGCTTATTGGCTAGATGGTTGATGAGCTGCTTTAATGTTATGTTAATAATGTCAGCTTGGCAACAAACATACAGCTGGTTGATTGTGTTCAAAAGCAACTGGAAATCAGTGGATCCAATGCATTTGTGCTTTTCTGCCCAAATATTTCTATGAGTAGTAATATTAGAGCCACAGGAAGTGATATTTTTACTGGAGACATTTGGCTTTGATAGCTCTGCTCTTTACTAAATAAATCTACAGCTAGGAATTACAGTGATAGCTACTCTGTATTTAGGCATAGGATGTATCAAAAATTGAAGACCTTTGTTACTGGCTGAGTCTCTCTTACCAAAAGCCTAGGCTTGGCTTAGTGTCTTTGTGAGCTTGACAGCTGTGCTTTGTCTCTTGTAGGCCAGAGGAAACCTTTAGGCTCTGAAGCTACAAATCTTTGAAGAGCAATAAAACATGCAAGTGTATAAATAAAAAATGAAGTAGGAAGAAACTCCTTTAAAGATTCTGGAATCTCTCTTCTTCTTCCCCACTGACCACCCTGCAGCCAAGTTAAAATTAAGAAACATACAAATAAGGAAACCTGAATGTCATAATTTATTGGCTTGGTCTAATGGAAAATTGTTTAACATCACTCATAACTCATGATCTTTCCCCTGCAGTGGCATAAGTCATGGTAATTGCTTCGTGCCCCAAAGGGCAAAGAAATATAAAGATTGGAAGTAATAAGTCTTTTATCTTCCTTAACAGGACATGCATATTATCAGCACAGATGAGAATCAGGTGTTTGCTGCAGTTCAGGAATGGAACCAGAATGACACATACAACCTCTACATTTCTGATGTTCGTGGAGTCTACTTCACTCTAGCCTTAGAGAATGTTAAGAGCAACCGAGGACTAGAGGGGAATGTTGTCATTGATCTTTATGAGGTATGCACTCAAAGTCATCATGAGGCAACTTGTCCTCTTGTAAGAGTAAATATCACTTCCTGGTATTTAATTAAAAATACTGCTGTCTATTACAAGAATAAATGAAGATGGATCTGGATTTGTTGATAGATCTCTAAATGCTTTCAGAAAATAGGCAAGATTTCTTACTCCCAATTATTTAATTGTACTAGAAACATTTATTCATATATGTAATGGAATAGCTAAACTTTGAGAACGCTCAGTCTCAAAACTCCTTTTCTCTGAGTCATAAAATCCTGGCCCTTCCTTATGCTTTGGCAAGTTAGTAGATCCTGCTGCTAACATCTATCTTTCAGGATTATTTCACCTGGCATTTTCCCACAACCCCTTCTGACTCTTCTGTAAAAAAGATAAAGTCTCTCACAACAGGTGCTGTCTTTCTGGGAATTAAAAGTCAAAAATACAAAAGTTGAAATAACTTCTGTATTGTAACTTGGCTCCCAGCTTTGAAGCATGGGAGTAGAAGATTCAGCCCTTCCTCTCCCCAATCTGGGAGATAGACTAGTCTAACTAGAGAAAAAAAGAGCCCCCCCTTTCTCTCTATACATACATACATACAGTACATACATACATACACACACACACACACATACATACACACATACATATACACATATATACATACATACACATAAACACTATGGAAATTCTTTTCAACCATATACTAAATATTGTGTGTGTGTGTATACACACACACACACACACTTACGTACGCATACCTAGATAACATATTGTGGTGGACCATAATTTGTCTTTGTCACTTTTATTTTTTCATTTCGGTATCTTGGCTGTCCTATTTAGTAGGAATATTATTTTACAGCCTCATTTGTATTTGACTAACATAAAGAGATCAAATTTTCTGATAATTTAGAATGGATGGATGATTGAGCTCTTTGCAAGTAGCAAACATGATCCTATACTTGCCTAACTACACAATAGATGAGATTGAATTTGACTCTACCAGTCCCATCAGGAAAGCCAGTGCCAGTCCTGATTTCTGAAGCAGAATAAACCAGAGCTTGAAAAATCTGAAAGTTTGGAAAGAAGGAAAGGAAAACTGGTCATACTGTCAAAGTGTGGGCTAAGGAATTAAGCTCTAGTTGCAGGTGCTGTTCTGATTTTGAAGAGTGGTACATAATATTGTAAATAAATAAATCTTTTCACACACACACAAGAATGGAGGGGAGATTGGGATTTAATCAAGATTTACAAGGGCTGGAGTTGTTGTAATAAATATCCCTTCCTTTTTATCAGGAGCACATTTCAGAATTAGAGTTATGGCATAAGCCAGCAATGTCTGTAAATAAAGAAGAATAAAATGGGACTATGAAATTCCTATGATGCAGAAGCAAAGGTTTTAAGAGTTCTGCTGCCAAAAAGGAATTCCTCTGGAGATGAGATTAAAGTTCTCTTATGCGCTCTTAAAAAGCAATTTGGTTTTTGATAGGATATTTTGCACTCACTTCCCTGGTGAATTTCCAAAATAGGTCTCTATCTATAGTTGGGCAAAGACAGAAGCCTTTATAAGAAACATTTGCTGTACTTGAGATTACATTCATTTTCTAAACCCCCCCCCCCAACCTTGTTCTGAGATGTTTTCTTATTTTTCTTCCAATATGAAAAGTAATTCAGTGAGGTGATTTGTGGAATAAATTATATTTTATTCTCTTAGAATGAGCTAAACTGGGGCAAGTTTATGGAAGGGGGGAACCTAAAAGTGGGCACATCAGTGGTCTTCCGTCTTTAATATTCTTTAGAATATATAATATTCCCAGAACTTCTAGCAATACATTAATGGTCACCATGCTGGCTGGGAATTCTGAGAACTCAACATCCAATATACCTGCAGAACTTCAGGCTAAGGTACGGTAGCTTAGTTAACCCTAAAACATTTCAAAGATTCCAGGAAACTGAATGTTTATAGAATCTGAGATTTATCAGAGTGCTGAGAAACTCTTATAAATGTGGAAACTGACACGGCAAGTCACACTGGTTTCTCTGGTAATATCCACACAATTAATTCCATTTATTACTATTATTATCATTATTATGATAATTTATCACTTATAAAACTAGTGGGCACTGATTTAGAAATTTTAGAATGAAAAGGTTGTATAGACTTGGAGCTGTAAAATTTGACTTGAGAAAGCTATGTTTGTTTGTTTTTCACACAGTGGGAAGAACAGCCTATCTTTTTTTTCCCCTTCAAAATTCAGGTGCTTTAAATATCTCAGCAGGATGCAAAAGGAAAAAAAAACCTATTTAGTAATTTATTTTCAGCTATATAAATCAAATAAATAGTAAACATTTGGTTATTTATTTATTTGATTTATATAGCAGCCCCTTCAAAATGACTCAGTATCATTTATATCAGAAAATATAAGCTATAATTTAAAAAATACCAACCCCCCCCCCCCCCCCCCC